TTGTGACTATTTCGAACTTGGAATTGCAACTACAGAATACCAATGCGGCTTAAAACTTAAGTCGTTCGACAGCAGATAACAATTAGTGGTCTTATTGATTAAGATACATCACTGTTGTTACAAACACACTATGTGTAGGCTAAAATCGTACTACTTTAGATGAAATCCAACTCCGAATGGATTAAACTATAAGTTGACTCTCGTAATTCAGATCTAATGAAAACGGCGGGTTTTGTAATTTTATTTTCAGGCGACAAATTTTTTTCATAAAAGAATCTCACTTACTGTTCCGGTGACATATGACGGAACGTAAAGGCTCGGGATGGTTTGTTTTTATTTGAACTACTTTTACAAAAATTGGTCCCCCGAGGGATCGAGATCTCAATATCCATGGAGCCATCCAAGTGTGCTCAGCACTAGTGTAGCCTACCCGTTGTATGCCTATGAGTTTGTTTCATTATACTGCACCAAATTAAGCACCAATTATTGATCCATTTAATTTTGAACACTTCTTTTTTGATATCATCTTAACTTTGCCAATATTTATTTTACCAAAAGCTATTCGAGACTATTTAAAGGGCTGTCGAAACTTTCACGGTTCTGTCCGAGACAAGCAGTCCTATCCTATCGCATAATAATTGTATTCAATCAGATCCAAACGTAATTTTTGTTTGAAAATAGCTAATGTGCATAAAAACTTTCCAAAAAAAACTATCCGAAGTTTATGTGCCTAAAAACTATCCGAGACTAACTGAAAGGCAGTTGGAACTTTCATGGTTTCGCCCAATACGAGCAGTCTTGTTCTGGTGGCATACAAGAATACGCGTAATAACTGTGTGCGACCATGGCCAAACGTTAATGTGGTTTGAAACATAGCTTATGTGTGTCACCATTGTTAAAACTAAATCAGTTTCGAGAAAACAATCCTTTCTGATAAAAACTCCTGCCTTTCGTATGAATTTTTTTAATTTTTCAATTAATTCGATACCTCTTCATCCCGTTTTTTTCTCTCTTCTGCATTATGTTTGATCTCGGAAAAAAATATTTCGTCCTTCGTAGCTTTCCTTTTTCCGCCGGCGCTTTTTCCCCTATTCACTGCCCGGTTTTAAACCGTTGATGTCGTGTTGCGCTCGTTAACCGGTTGGCTTGATTCCCGGTTTGAGGTGCTCACTTTATGTTTCGACCATGTTGACCAAAATCGGTGCTCGACCGTTTCGACTAAAATTCGGCATATTTCGAGCTCAACCAAAACTCGATAAGTTTTGACCGTGCTTGACCGAAACAAATGTGCTCGACCGTGCTCGACCCAAGCAAGTAACGTTTCGACCGTCCACGGCCGAATTCGGGTATGTTCCGATTTTGAAACGCCATGAGATATCCAAATTTGAACCTTATACTCTATGCTTTTAGTGTAACATCTTATGATTTTTTCTTTATCAGTTGAAATGATTAATGTTGTTTGTACATTTTCATTTGCAAAATGAAAGCAATTTTCAATTTAAATGCCGTGAGAGATTTTTCAGCTATTTTTTTCAATCTTTTGGAACACTGGTTTGCAATTTGATTCGAAAATGTTTTATGAAATATTGATTTTTTGAAGAAATTTTTCTTTTTGACTCCAAATCGGACAATCGATTTTTTTTCGAACGTGCTCGACGTTTGTTTCAACTGTGCTCGAGATATATTTCGAATTTGTGCTCGACCCAATCAATCTCCTGTCTCGACTTTTCTTCTTCGGTCGAGCACCGAGATATGATCGACTTTGAAATCGAAACATAAAGTGAGCACCTTGACCGGAGTATTCTTTAGCAACCCTAGAGATGCCTGAATTTCTGATGCCTTGTCTGTTCCCGTTTCGGCTGCGAACATTTCATTGAGATCTGCCAGCAGTGGTGCATTTTCCGACGCTGTTCTCGACACAGTTTTTTGCGCCTCCCAGTTAAATTTGCAAACCACACACTAGCTGACCGGTGACCGTAAAAGTTTTCAAAGAAATCATAGAAACGGTCAAGAATTGGGCTTGCATCCCTGGCCGATTGTTTTACCCGATACCACCAAAAAACCAAACGTTGTTAACCGCGCAACTCCTATGTTTGCCCCAGCCATATGTGTTTATCACTGCCGCAACAAAAAAAATAACACTTTTTTGTTAAAAATCAAGATTTAAACTGAAGTGTACATCGTTATACACATTTACGCTAAAATTATGAAGGATAAAAAAGCAGTAAAGAAACATAGAAGTAATTAAACAATTCGGGTAAATTATATTTTTCGAGGTTATTTTTCAATAGGCTGCTACAGTTTAACCTTCGAGGCAAAAATTTGTGAAAAAAAATTTAACTGAAACGTTTTAATGTCAGAGAGTTTTTCAAACAAGATTTTCTTGTATGTTGTTCCATTTTAGAAAAAAATCTCATAAACAGTTTTTTTAAAACAAATTTGTGCGTTTAAGACAAAAATTTTTGCTCGACGATATTCAATTAATGATAAATAACCATTGGAATAGAAATGCAACGTACCGGGGTCAAGGTTTTAGATTTATTTTCGACCGTCTCGAATAAAAAATAAAAAAAATGTTTTGATCGCTTCGACGAAGTTCAGATATGTTTCACTTTGACTTCCAATTCATTTGAGTTATTCAAAATTAAACGTTTTTTTTCTATGCTTTCCGTGTAATAGAATATTTTTTTAATGTGGAAATTTGCAGTTTGAACGCTTTTTAGAGTTATACGATTTTGCAACTTTTTTTTAATTTTAAGAACCCTCTGCTTTGACTGTCGTCGACCAATTTCGATATAATTTGACGGTGCTCAAGGTATCTTTGAAGCTTGTGCTCGACCCAAAACGATGTCTCCGCTATTCTTTTTTGGTCGACCAATGGCATGTGCTCGACTTTGAAACTCGAAACATACAGCGAACAGCTGCATCGTGGTAGCGACGATTGGCTTTCTTCAAATATATAGCCATAACAGCATGAATTTACACCAAGATAAAGGGGAGTAGGATTCAACTCAACTGTCAGGAAAACTCAACTGAAGAAAAACTCAGCAGTATTACTGCTGAAATTGCTTGCATAGTATTTCGAAAAACTGATTTTTATTTGAAAAAACTGGTAATAAAAGAAACACTCAAAACTTGGATCATGAATGAACGCTATTTTGAAAAACAAATAATCAAAAAAAACTGAACAATTTTCCAAAAAACTTCCAAAAAATCGGTGGTGCTGCAAACGTTTCATTCTATAAGATAACCATCAATATTTTTTTCGTTGACAGAAAAAAAAGTGGTTAATTGCCAAAGCAAGTAAACTGTGATGATTGGTCAAGTTTATCAATTACCCCAGTAATTTTATCAGACCCTCCAGTATTGCTTCATTTAGGAATCAACCATTTTGTGAAGATCAAGTACTAGGTTAAAAAATGAAGAAAAACTTGGGCAACAAACCTGTAAATTTAATGAAGAATAAGTAAATCTTGAGATTCGAAACAAATTACGAAAAAAATTTTTTTTTACACAATTGGACATTTGTGAAACACAATTTCGCTTAACGTTTGATAATATGCTCCTGCGCATGTGACCTCACTTGAAAATTTTTCAAGTATTAAATACTGAAACAGTTAATCTTTAAGGTAAAACCTGCGCTTTTTTGCTAACAAACTGTAGAACAGTTGAATTTAGCATAAGAAACCTGTATAAAAATGTGTCCTTAATGTGAAATTAACTACACCAGCTTTTGATGATCAAATAGAGGACCTCTATGACAATTCTTAAACGTCTTAAAGTAAAAATCTAACATATTATTTGGTGCAACTACAAAATCTTTAAGAACTGAAAGAAGAAGTAAATAAAATCAGATCTGAATCGTTAAACAAAACAACCAAAAAAAAACAGGGCAGTTAAAAGACAAATACACTTAACATTTTATTTGGCACTAATATATGTATCGAAAACCAATCTTCGAAGTTTGTGTCGTATTGATTTAAAGAATCTAATTTTAAGCTTTTATGTGACAGGCCAAGCAGAAAAAGTATATTTTAGTTCGAAATTAATTTTTGGTCTGTAACATACAACGGATGACGTGCTTCATGAAAATTTGGG